ATCCACCATGCATCATTTGCATGTAGTTGAGAGAGCACGCTAAGAAAACCCAAAGAGAGGAAAGGTGGTGGACGGCTTTGAGAGGTGGAGAGGAGAGGTGCGATTTCTTGGTAGAGAATAGGCTAGGTTGGGGGTGGAAAGGTTTAGATCTAAATCTGAAATTATTTTCAGATTTTAGTAATTTAGGAGAGAACTAATTTGAAATTAGATCCCAAAATTGATTGCAATTAATGCCTTGATGGAGGATTAATGGGAGGGAGCCATGTAAGGGGACCGGCGGTAGGGAGAGAGAGAGGAGACAGGAGAGAGGTTTAAAATAAAACTGAAATCAATTTCAGTTTTAGAGAGTTTGGAAGGAAAATATTTTAAAATCAATTTGGATTTCAAACATGGATGAGGGAGTTAATGTGCAATCAATAGGGACCCATCATAGGGCCGGCGGTATCAAGGAGGAGGGAGGGGATTTGGGAGGATGAGGACGAGTTTCCAAATAGAGGATGATGACTAGGAAAGAAAATTTATTGAATCCAATTTAATTTAATTTGAAATTGAATTCAATCATAGAAACTTTCCTAAATTGGATTTCTTAATTTGGAAAGAATTTGAAATTCAAATTTCAAAGAAGGCTGGGGGAGAGAGGGGTGGTGGGCGGATGGGGGAAGGCCGGCAGCAAGGTAGCCGGCCGGTGGTGAAAAGGCAGCCGGCGGATTGGGGCTCCAAGGGGCGACGGCAACAGGGTGGGCTCGGATTCTTCAAGCTCTTGGGTTTGGATTGTTGTCTTTTATGGGGGAGGAGGTAAGAGACTAAGGATCGCAAGCCTCAACGATTCATCCAATATAACTCACAAAGAGATCTAGTAGAAATGAACTCACCAAGAGATCTAGGAGACACGAACTCACAAAGAGAACACAAGAGAAAATTTCATTCATCAAATCAATCATCCTCATACATGATAAGAGAGCCATATATATAGGCTTCCAAACGACAACTAACACAAAAGACTAGAATGCCCCTTGGGCTACAATAGCGACCAACTACCCATAAGGGAAAAAACGGAAAAACTGAAATAAAATGCTTAATACATAAAATGCTAATACACATAAGCATAAAAAATAAAGACTATCCATCATGGCCATCGATCTCCTGTGTCGCCTCTGATAAACGCGTCGAAACCTCTTGTCGATGTCCCCATCATTTACATAAACCTTGAGGTGGAAAATTCCTCTGTAGCTTCCTTAGCATTATCTGAATGCAACATCAGCATCAATGCATAATCTGCCTTTGTAACTTCAACTTCAATTACTTCTTCAGAAATAGCAATGAGGAATTTTTTATCCTTCCATTTCAGCCTCTTCTCTGAATATACAGTATAGCAATTATTGAGCAATGCCCTGCTTTTTACAATAACAACGCGATGATATGACATCTTGCTTCTCTACAGTTAGACCTTCAGTCCTCTCTTTCTTAAAAGTTGTAATCCCTGATTTTTTTCCAATCCAAAGAGAGATTTATTTCCTCAACTTCAAGAACTTTTATGGTAGCTTGAAGGACATTAATAACTAGAAAAGCTTCACTTGTGATTAGGATTTCATTAAGCCCTGTTACATGTTTCATAGATATGGATTTCCCATTAAATAGAATTTTTAAAACAATTATATGCTTTTAAAATTTATCGTCTACTCTTGCACATTTTTCTCATAATCCTGCGTCCAACTCTACCATCGAATCCACTTTCTTCTTCATGCATGAGGGTGCAAATTTTAGCTTTTAATAAGCTTTTAAACATTTTCCATGTCATCGTTAGTAGATCCTAATTTTTAAATTGTGAATTCCAATTTGCTAAAACATGAGAGGATAACTTCAAATAATCAAATACAATTTTTTTTCTCTCGGGATAATTATAAACCATTAAATACATTTTCATAAGCTCAACCCAAATGTTTACTATATCAATTTTGATGGTTTCATCAAAGTAAGGCAACCGTAACTTTGTGTTAGACAGGTCCAATCGGCCACTTCTATGGGTCTCGTTCAGGTTTGTAGCAGGAAGGGGGCAGCGGCAAAGGAAGGAGAGAGAGAGAGAGAGGGTGGGTCCACTTGATATTCAAATTCAAACTTGGAGCCAAATGAGGGGGCGGCATGGGCTTTTTTGTCTTTTGGCTCTATTGTTTAATTGCATGCCTTAAGTATGATGAAAATTAGGGTTAGGGTTATACTTGATTATTATTTCTCTTGGAGTTCTATTAGGTGTCTTGGGCTCTAGACTCATCGTCTAGAGATTGGGAGAGAATGATCATGCTCTCAAATTTAGGATCAATTGTATCTTTGATTTGTGCTTGCTTTGATTTGATTCCTATAATGGGAGTGTTTTCACCTAAGTTCTCGAGTTTTTCTCGGTGTTTTTACGAATTATTGTTAGGTTTTCTTGCGAACTCAAGTATTTCGCATTAGGGTTACTTGCAAACTCAAGTATTTCCTATCACGTTGTTTCTATCTTGAGGGATACTCTTCTCATCTTCTCTCCTTGATATATTCTCCTCTTTAGATATATATATATTTTCTACCCAAACAACTAGTGGTGGAGCAAATGATGGTGGTAATATAATGTCACCTTGGAAATAAGAGCTTCAATGGCAGCCATCAATGTAGTGATCTAATTAATCATTTGTTCTTTCAGACTATAAATAACTAAAATTGTCTATAATTTATCCTCAAAGTTACAAATGTTAGGCTTCATAAAAGTATCAAGGGATTCATTCACACACCTTAATTTAACAAGGAAAAAAAAATTCCTGCGTAGTATTTTGATTAACAAAAAAAAAACAATCCTAATATTGGTGGTACAAAAGACTCATGGAACTAGTAGGAGGACTTCTGGATTAATGATTTAGGATTTTGTGAATATATGGAAGGGCAATGGGTATTTTGCTACTATCCTAGCATAGATAGAGACAAATCACCATCTCTTGGGAATCATACACTACATCATTTGGATTTGATCATCCCTTGGAATTCATGCTACTAGAGGAAAGGGGAGGATTTGGATGGAAAAGCTTGGCTAAAACCTAGAGAGAAAGGGATGTTGAGGAGGAATTATTTTAACTGCTTCAAATTTAATTGATAAATCCTAAGGCCTAATATTTAGAGAAAAATAAAAGTCAATACAAATAAATCAACAATTCAAACTAAATGTACTAATTTAGGCATCTTATCATGAATATTCAACATCCATGTAAATTATGGCAAGTCGTTATCTAATTGATTCTTCCAATAAAGTGGTTGGTCATATCGGCGAAGCAGAGAATTTTGTGAAGAGATATTTGGAGTAATTTTCTTGATACTCTCGAATCTAATTTTAAGTAGCTAAATAAGCCTCTTTTCAATTTATATTTGCAAATTAATTCCCCTAACATTAATTCTACGAATTTTCTAGAGACTTCTAGATAATGCTTTGGGTCGAGGGTTTATTCAGATATTGCAATGAGGGGAGATTGAGTTACGACGATGTCTATTAGATGTGATCAAACAAAGCGAAAATTAGAGGGCAACAATCGTGAGGCAATTATATGACAATAACATTGCTAGCAGTCATCCTTTGTAGAAGTTGCATTCAATCAGGATTGGACAAATTGAGATGGAGAGTGAGTTGCAATGTAGGCGCGGTAGCGATGCAATCATGAATATACATATACGGGGCTTTAATAAAAAAATCATTCAAAGATAAGGTTACAAAATATATGAAAAAGCAAGTTCAATGAGAGGAACTAAGGAGAAGAGAGAAGAGAGAACCAACTTTAACTAATTAGGAGAGATGAGGAAGAATAGGAGAGGAATCTTAAATTTAAATTCATTCAATAATATTCCAAATACAAGCCTTATTTATAGTAATAGAGTAACAAAGATAAAGTAGAATAATGTAAAATCAAATCATCCAACATTAAACCAAATCCTAAAAAACAATTCAACGTTGAACTTAAGATGATAAAAAAGGACAACTCATCTTGATTTAAAAAAAAAATGAATCTAATAAATCCAAATACCTTAATTAAAAAAAATAAAGGTGAAATCTAAGTTAAAATAATACAGCAACATCAAGTCTTTATCCCACTACGCAGCTAAATGAATCCTTTTTCTCCATTGTGTCCGGTTAAGAGTCAAATTCTCATTTAGATCTAATAAAGAAAGGTCATTTCTAATATTTTCTAACCAAGTCTTTTTAGGGCTACCTCTAACTTTCTTTACATAGGCCAAATCTAATGCATCTACTCTCCTAACCGGGTCATCGGTCAACATCCTCATTTTTCTAGTTAGATATCAATAAATTACTCTTTACAACAATTCTTCAACAAACTTAACTTAACCTACAAGATCCCATCAAAACAAGCACGTTTCATACTGCAAACAGATTGGTGACCTCAGGTAAACAAGAAAAAAGTTGAAAATATCAAGTGCACTTTTTTCCTAAAAAAATTTGGATCATACTAGGAACCAGACAATAAGAAAACATTTATTAAAATTTGCTATCCTATATAAAATAATCAATATTATCATTAGCAAAACCTTCTACAACTAACTTTATTAAAAAAGTTTATGAACCAAAACTTTCACCCAACCCATCAAAAGTAACATCTGAAAAAGGGTCAGACGAGATACAGAGAAAGATAAATGTTTTCTATGGTGTAAGAGAACAAAAAAAAAGGCAATAGCCAAGTGCATTCCTAATGACATGTCGACACTCAATACATCTGAACTGTAAGCGGGCATTCCAATAGTTACTTCCCACAACAAGAGAACTGTAGTATCTACGAAGCTATCCAAGAGTTTGATAAGACGAATATGACATTCAAGTGAATAGAGAAACGGAAATCATAACAACAAAAGCAGACCCAAATAGCTGGCATAAGGCTAACGATGATGATGACCATGGCCACCATGATTATGAAATAATAAGCCAGCAACTGACTAGCTAATTGAAGGAAAACAAAAAATGATGATCTAACCGGTCAAGAAGCTTTGCGGCGGCCTCATATTCCCTTGCCTGATACATGGCCTTGAGCACCAAATTATACGATGCAGTGTTGGGTGAGATCTCGTATTCCTGCATCTGTGCGACAAGATCAAGCAGCTCACCGGCAGACGCTCCCATCATCAGATTAGCCCTCAAGTAATGATTGTAGAGGTTCACATCAGGCCTGTTTGGTTTCCCACTGGCGTCCAGCGACCTGATCCAGAATTCGAATAGCTGTTTCAAATCGGACCACCGCTGCGAAAGCATCCAATCTGCAAACACGGACATTAGGCTAGCCAAGTCCAACGTCTGCGAGAATGCCATTATGCGAGCGCTGGAGTGATCGAACCCAACCGGAACAAGCGAATGACCGCCGAGTGCTGCAGAACCAACACTAGGATTTCGCCAGTTCTCCTGGTAGAAGGGGCTTCCCGATGACGGATTGGGAGGAAGAGGGCTCGCTTCAGGAGGGATCTCTTGCAAATACGGCTCCTGAGAGAGGAATGGAAAGCCGGAGATAAGACGAATGAACGTAGGGCTTAGGGTTTTACAGTGGAAGAAGCTGGTCCTTGAGAGGATCGTCATCCTCACCGCCATTGACGAGCTCGAGCGTAAGCTGGATAGAGCTGTGACCGAGATGAAGCTAACTGAAGGTTGGTTAGGGTTTGGAATGTCTACGGTCGAGGAACGGCTCAGTCGCTGGAGATGGGTTCAGTTTGTGAAGAAATTGTTCTGTTCGGCATTGCGAGGCCTGACGGCCTCGGAATACTTGGCCATTTTTGCCATTGTAAACAGGTAAATTCTGCCAGGAAAATATACAAAAATTTTTGTGGGTGAAATTTATCATTTTGTATATATAATTATCATTTTTATATAATTACAGCTTAACAAGTAATACAACTTAAAAAAAAAATGTGGTGCAAAAAGGGAAGAGGAAGTAAAAGGAACGCATTAGAATTATTTGGATGAGTGAAAAATGAATGGAAGACTTTTTTTTTGACGTAAAGTAAATGCTAGTAAAAATTGTGATCTGGGTAGCCGGCAGTCAACGATGGGCGGTGGTCAGGTGCGGAGCAGTCGCCGTCTGCGGCGGAGTTGTGGCGGCTGCAGGGCGGTAGTGGCAACTAGCAGGGTGGCAGTGGCAACCAACGGGGCAACGGTGGCGGCCAAAGGCCGGCTATGGGGTGGCAATGGGGGCTGCCGACGAACAATGGCGGCAGGCAGCGAGCAGCAGGTGGCGGCAGAGACATTGGCTACCACGGGTGGTCAAGCAAGCACTTGAGCAATGTAAATCGTTTAAAGAATAAATATGCCTTGAACTAAATGAACTAAAATTAAATACACTGTATTTACTTTATTTTATCTTCGATTTACTTTTCATCAAACCAAATATTATTAAGGGTATAAGTGAGATGAGCTGACTCAAGCCCGACTCCTACTGAGCTCATGAATCGAGCTTATTGAGCTAGGAGCTCGAACTCATATATTAAACAAGACCAAATTCTAATTTGATTAAACTTAGATATTTCTTATATATAAAAAAGAAGCCAACAAGAAAAAGTGGGTGAATATTTCTTGTTTATCACTTGAATTTCTTTTTTAAGCTAATAGCCTTTTAAAAAGTATTAGTTAAAGTCACCAAACCAATTAGTCACACAAAAAGGCACTAATTATTTAATTTCTCAAAGAAGAGATAGGTAAAAAAAATATTAATTGAAGCTTGCTAAGAAGTTTGAGTTCATTGTTACTCAAGCTCAACTAAACTCATTTACAACCCTCATGCCTCCTCAACAATTTTTCCATACATCTCTTCATCTATGGTCATTAGCTAGATATTGTATTTAATTTGCAGACCTAATCTAAATTATTTATCATTAGTTTTATATATTTGTTAACAAGTATTTGTTTTGATGATTCTACTTCTCTACAAGAATGACTGGATTTGTGTAGAGTTTCTACAACAACAACAACATCAAGCCTTTATCCCACTACGTGGGGTCGGCTACATGAATCCTTTTTCTCCATTGTGTCCTATTAAAAGTCAAATTCTCGTTTAAATCTAATAAAGAAAGGTCATTCCTAATATTTTCTAACCAAGTCTTTTTAGGTCTACCCCTACCTTTCTTAACATAAGTCAAATCTAATACCTCTACTCTCCTAACCGGGTCATCGCAAGGCCGCCGTTTTATGTGACCAAACCATCTAAGGCGACTTTCTCTAATCTTATCTTCTACTGGAGCTACTCCAACCTTTTCACGTATATGCTCATTTCGTGTTGAGTTCTACTGGAGCTACTCCAACCGTACGTATATGCTCATTTTATATATTTATGTGTAGAGTTTCTCCAACTGGATAATAAAAAAGATACAACAATTTATTTTTTAATCAAAAAATATATTGATTAAACATATAAGTATATAACTTTAGGTTCAAAAGCTCACAACTTATGTTCATGTAGCTCACCATTACTCAGCTTGAATAAATACAACAACCTAACATATATATACTTGATGGCATCAAAATCTAACCTAAAATGACTAAGTTTAAGTCAAAATTTAAGGAAACTAGAAATACTAACATGAGTCTAAGCAAAGCTAATTGTATAGGGTGGCCTATAACAAGCAAGTAAGCCTAATTAGCAGTAATTATGTACAACATGTGATTCATTTTAGTTAGACACAGCCCTCTTAATATTTCTAAAGGGACTTACAATATCTATTTTTTTGCACTCAATTTATAACGTACATGTGACTAAATATTATCAAGAATAGAAGTTAACATAAAAGATATCCTCCTATATCAACCCCGCAAGGCCGTCTTGGGGAGACCAACTACTAGTGAGAAACAATCGGGTTGCTAATATCCTACCCATAAGTACACCTTTTGATAGGCTACTTTAAAGTTATCATTTGGATATCCCCAAGCAAACTGCATGCTCCAACCTAGTAGTTCATCATGAGACCAACCCCCGCTGCATAGTCTTCTAATCATAAGAACCTTTAGCAATAAAGTTTACCTCTCAGTTATTATTTCGTCACTTATTATCATAAGCCAGCAATCTCAACCTTTCGTGCTTCCTAGTCACTCTCGACTCTCAATAATAACTAATGCATCCATATTATACAATAATTTACCCAAGCCAATAACAATAATTTATTCCTCTCATATTACATAATAATCATCTCAAGCTGTGTACCTCAACCCTTTAATAAATGTTATATGCCTTCATTCTCTTAATTAACTATAGCTTGAAGTCTCCTCCATTTATTTTGCTTCCTTTCTTGTTCATCTCAACAAATCACTAAGAACTCAATTGACTCTTGGTCTACTCTGTCTAAGATACCACCATGAAACCATTGACATCATACCACTCAATCAAAGCATATTCTTCCCATATTCCATTAGGAGATGCTATAGATGCTCCATATAAAGTAGCCCGCTATAATCATGACACATGTCACATACCTTCCACATCTCAAAGTCATGATAAGAGTTATGTCAACACCATACGGATAGGTCAATCATAACCTTACAATTTTGTTCATTAGTCTAACATGCCTTCTATTCATCTGATCATACAATAATAACCACATAACACTTATTCAGTTTATATCTTGCCATGTGTACTTCATGTCACTTCATTGTAAATTACAGATCAACATCCTCTTATAAGGAAATAAAACTCATCTATGGTAACACAAGATTTTCATTTGATTTGCTTGGTTGAGTTGTGACCTTATATTTTGAAAAGGACTTGTTAGCTCATCCTCTTCTTTTTCATCATCTCTCACATACTAACACCACTTTATTGGATAAGCTGGATGCCCCTTTAATGTTGCGTATTTTGCCTATAGTTCAATATAAGTATTCAAAATAAAGTCTTATATTGCATTGTAATTGTTAAATACGAAAATTACAAACTTTGCATTCTATTTTATATTTTTATAATAATGTTGTGTTACACTTTCATTTGGAATCAAGTCAAATACTTATTTTTCAATATATCATAAATGCTACCCAAAGATGAGAACTCCTCGCTTCTACGCATATCAAAAATGTATGTGGATAGTTGGTGCTCTAGATACACAAGTTCAACTACTAAATTTTTTTTTGGATATCTCTGCAAGCTAAATTAATTTCCCCTTATCATAAACAGATAATAAGTTACTTAGATTAAGACATGAAACACAAAGAAACAATTTAGTACTATCTTCAATTAGCCTTGAATGTAGAAATCATGGTAGGAACATCAACTTTAAACACATTACAAAAACGTGAAACTTCATCTAATCAAGAAGCACATCCATTCTCTCTCATTATTTATAATCGTTGTTCGGAGACTTGCACCAATTTTATTGCATTCAAAATATCTTTATCTTTTCTCTATAATGCTTGTGATAATTTATTTGTAACACCAAAAATATCAATCATTAAGTGTATTGTAAGGATAAAATCAAAAGATTCTATAGCATCTATTAGAATGTTAGCATCGACAGAATGTTAATCATGAACCACATCTTCCTTGATAATTTCAAGCAATTCAATCACCGAAGCATACATTTTCATTAAATTAATTAACATATGAAAATATGAACCCAACGGGTGTCACCAGCTTGTTGTAAACTTGTCTCTTGATTCAAACCTCTACCACTGCTCAAGTCTCCCTTATTTAGTTGAAAATTTATTTAATAATGTTTGATGGCTCTAAGAGTATCAATCCTCTTATATGAAGCTCCAACATTATTTGCAATTCTTGAAGTGATCTCAAATAGATGCTTCATATTCTAATGATTTTTTGCTACAACCACTAATCAAATTGGAGCTGATGAGTAAATCAATGAACATAAAATATTTGAGGGTTATCATTAAGTATTAGTGCTTTAAAATCATGAAACTCCCCTCATATATTAGATGCCACATTATATCCTTGACCACAAATCTTATGCATGCTCAACGAGTATTTTGCAAGTAAACTTTCAATGGAAGCCTTCATAGCTATTGCATGAGTCGACACAACTTGTTTAATGCCTATGAACCTTTCAATAATTTGCCCCAATTTATTCGCATATCGCACTGCAATGACTAATTATTCTTTTATATAAACATCTCATGAGGATTCATCAACTATAATTGAGAAGTATGAGTCATCAATATCTTTTATAATATGAACTAAAATTTTGAGTAGTTGCAGCACAACAAATTTCTTCAATTATTTGACTCGGCTAACTCATCATTCCCACGAAATTATAATCCTTTTATGTAAGAGAAATCGAACACGAACCACTACTGCAGTCAACATGACTTTGTAATCTTTTTTGTTCTTCTCATCTTTACTTAACCATAAAGCAAGAAGATTATGATATTGACTCTTCATTAAATCTTCACATTTATGTATGACTTTGCTTTATACACTATTATACCCTCCAACCTGACTTAAAATATTTTTTTCTTCTTCCAATTTATGAACCCTTCCACAATAAATGAGTATCCACCACTTGGCCTTTAATAATTTGTTATTGGGGTTTGAATAGGTAGAAATAAAGACAAAAAATTATCATCTTCCTGCACGATGTACTTCAGCCAATCAATATATTCATCAAATAATTTTGGATTAAATATGCATGTAATATTTCCAACTAATGTTTGGGGAAAATGATGACTTCTTGGTTGATGAGGTCTCTTTAAAAGACAATCACTTCAAAATTTTATTTCTATCATTCACATCATAAGTCCAAATTGCAGGTCAAGTCCTGGATCAATTGGGAGATTGATAATATTAATCTCTACTCTTTCTTTCCTCTTTAAATAATGTTTCATCAACTTGGTGTCACTTTCCTTCTAAATAAAATATAGTTGAACTAAGTTAATAACGCATCAATTGTTTTATATTAAATGTTACTCAGTTTTTATTTTAATGACCATCTCAATAATGTCATGAATATAAAAATATTTGTAATGAAATATAGTTGGATAAAAAAAAATTTCACATATAGCTAAGGTTGGCCATCATAAGGATAAAATTAAAAATTTTATGTCAAAGTTCTATAAATACAAACAAGTTATGTAATCATAAAAATTGCTAATTAACTAATACATTTTTGGGGTATTTACATACATACCACTTTATTTCATGCAATTTACATGGCTAATATATACAACTTTAATATCACATGTCTATCATCCATAGAACAAATATGGGTGCATCATGCATGTAATGAAATATTAAAATTTATAGGTTGGTATGGATTGTAAGAATGAAATATAGGAGTGATATATTTGATATTAAAATTTTATATGATTGGTAGGAATGTAATATTAAAATTTTTTATGTTAGATATATAAATAGCATAAAATAAAGTGTTATGTATGTAAATCACCATACTTACACGTCAGCACTAAAATACTTTTCTATGAACAAAAAAATTACAAAAAAATTGTTGGAGACATGCATTTAAGTTTTATTGGTGACATAAATTGAGATATCATAAGGAAAAATTAGAATAAAATAAAAGCTAATATTCTTAAGCAATCAATCACTCATAATAACGATGATGTGAAATACTATTTTTTTATTTTAATATTTTAAATATTGCATAGAAATAATAAAATTATATAACTCATTTCATTTGTTGGTTGGAAATTTTAAATATTAATTAAAAGATTTTGAATTCAAAGCTATTTGGTCCGGTGACCGGACGTAGAGCTACGTTCGGTGAACGCTGAGAAGGCGCCACGTAGCAGACACAAAACAACGGACCCGACCGGCGAATAGTGGGTATGTCGCACGTGCTTTTTTTAAATCCATGACAACCCGGTATTGGTAGGTATTGCTCGGTATGTCTAGGTATTTGTCGATTTTGTTCGACAATAACGAGAAATACCATTATGTGAAGATAAATACCGAGCAATACCGAACAATACCGAGTTTTTCTAGAAAAACTCGGTATTGCTTGGTATTGGTCTTCACAGAGCGGTATTTCTCGTTGTTGTCAAGCAATACATAGCAATACCGAGCAAATACCGAGTAATACCTAGCAATACGCGAACATAGCATTCTCGGGTTCCGTTCTGGGTCAAGTTGTCGGGCCGCGCGGTAAAGAGTAAGAGCACGTGACGCGATCTCAGTGGTGACCGCACGTAGAGCTACGTCCGGTCACCTGACCTAATAATTGTTCCAGTATTTGATGTGCTTACGAATTTATTTTAATTGACTTAAATATTAAAAAAAATTAACATGTAAATACAGATGTTTGAGGTGTCTGGAATCACGCCCCTTCAAAACAAAGACCTGCTCTTTCTGTCTCCATTTCCGTCCATTGTTCCGTTTTACGTCAATAGCTTGTCTGCTCCTGAATCTAATTCGATTACTGAATTCTGGTTTTCAGATAGCGATTTTGATTGAAAGTTGAGAAGAAAGATTTCTGGGTGATGGGGTGTCTTTGCAGCAAGAACGCAGAGTCCAGGACCAGTCGGATCGCTCGATGGAATGCTACTGGAATCGTAGCCCTAAGGGATTCCAATCTTAAGGTATCAAACATCGGGGAACTATTAAAAAAAAGAAAAAAGAAAAAACGATTAGCGTAATCTGTAACTTGTTCGATTTCATTCATTAACCGCGATGGATTTTACTTTGTATTTGGCGGTTCCAGAATTCGATAATTTGATCTTTTTCCCCTGCTAGATGTTTTTCGAATAATTAGTTTGCTAGTACAGATTATGTAGTGAAAACAGTGACAGTATTAATAATATAACTATTTTTGCATCATGGGTTATGGGAATACAAATGATGGTTTCCACCTTTACATACTCTGAGCTACCAAGTGTGTTCTTTGCTAATTAAAATAGAACCACATTATCATTTTTGAAGTATTAATTAGTTGGATGGTGATGGCTTTGGTATCATTCATCTTCGTTGTTGCAGCATGCTTATCTGTACGGAGCTGTTTGGTAGCACCCGAGATTTGATTTAAGTAGGATTTCTTAAATCCTCTAAATCCGGATTTTCGAAATTCTGAGGGGCCTAAATCCTGAAAGCTGTTTGGTAACATTCATGATAAATCCTATTAAATCCCGTGTAAATGTTTGGCTATAGAGCATATTTAACGAGCAGCTCTTCCTCTGGAGCCAATGGATTTCGTAAATAGGATTTCGAAAATCCGGGATTTAGCACGAAAAGGCGAAATTTTCCGTCTACGGCGGCTTTCATTTTCCGTGAGATTTGGTTTTGCATTTTAGGCCGTTTGGCTGGATTTTGCTCAAATACTACTCAAATCCAGCCTAAATCCTGCTACCAAACAGTCCCCACGTAATCCATTTTATTGCTATTGCAAAGCAAGCTTAATAAGAACCTCAGAAAAATATGGAAATGAATTCTTTGTAATGCCTAATGAATTTATCCTGCACACAGAAAAAACAGTCTTTTGATAGTTTTAGAACTTACATGAAAAATTGATAACTGAAGACTGCTACGAATATTAGTTAAATGCATGATAAGGTTATATAATATGCTCGAATCACCATAAAATAATCTCATTTTCGGTAAGAAAGCAAGGTTAGTATTAATAGCAAGATTTTTAATTTCCTGATATGCCTTTGCCACTTAAAACTATTTCTCGAGATGCATATTCGTTGGTTTGCCGTTTCTTTGTTTTTCTCCATTGATATTTTCATTTACTCGTTTTTTTTGTCCCGTCCGTCAAAATTTTACTATCTTCTTGATGACTTTGCAATCCAAAATGTCCAACTTAACAGGGTTTCTCTGGTTTTGTCATGAGTAGTTGGGCACCACCCATTTACTAAAGGCTCCAACTTTGCCCATGGAATGTGAAGCAATTTGTATAATGCGTATCTATCATGATGAAAACTTCCACTTTTGTATGATTTCATGACTTAAGATGGTGGTTAGACTTCAAACTTACCAAGTGGATACCATTTTCATCATCAAGATAGTTGTATCCAACGTTACATATAATATTTCTGGTCAATTATGAAATGACATGAATCACTGCTTGCTCAAGTATGTGGTAACGATTTTCTTGGAGAACAGGTGATGGTAGCTCATGTAGCTTTTCTTTAATGGTATACTCCACAACTAGATCCATTTAAAAATGAAGCTCATTAGCTGAATCCTTTCTAATGCTCAGCTGCTCTTGGCGGATCTTATCTCCTTGACTCAGCCAGCACACTATTCTCTTTGTAATTAGGGACCTCATTATGGGCTAATGTTGATAACACAATTTTATCATATTACATGGGTTTAGACCCTTCTCTATTTACCTCCTTGCTTCCATAGATCTTCCTATAAAATATCCTACTTATCCTTGTACAATATCAAATATTGATTGGCAAGCCCTCCTTTTTTGAGGGGCCTAAATCCTGAAAACTGTTTGGTAACATTCATGATAAATACACAACTCTTCTTGGCCTATTGGTTGAAAGCTTAGGCTTCCAACTAAGAGGTCCAAGGTTCGAGTCCATGTGTATGCGTTGTGTGTGTGAGTTTGCCTTAAATGGCCTAAATGTCCCAAAAAAAAAAACATTCATGATAAATCTATGAAATCCAGTGTGACTGTTTGGCTATAGAGCAGATTTAACGAGCAGACTCTTCCTCTTGAGCCAATGGATTTCGAAAATCCGGGATTTAACATGAAAAGGAGAAATTTTCCGTCTACGGCGGATTTCATTTGCTGTGAGATTTGGTTTTGCATTTTAGGCCATTTGGCTGGATTTTGCTCAAATCCAACTCAAATCCAGCCTAAATCCTGCTACCAAACAGCCCCTACGTAATCCATTTTATTGCTATTGCAAAGCAAGCTTAATAAGAACCTAAAAAAAAATGGAAATGAATTCTTTGTAATGCCTAATGAATTTATCCTGCACACAGAAAAAACAGTCTTTTGAATATATATGATAGTTTTAGAACTTAAATGAAAAATTGATAACTGAAGACTGCTACGAATATGAGTTAAATGCATAATAAGGTTATATAATATGCTAGAATCACCATAAAATATTCTCATTTTCGGTAAGAAAGCAAGGTTAATATTAATAGCAAGATTTTTAATTTCCTGATATGCCTTTGCCACTTAAAAACTATTTTTCGAGATGCATATTCGTTGGTTTGCCGTTTCTTTGTTTTTTTTTTTTCCATTGATATTTTCATTTACTCATTTTTTGTTGTCCTGTCCATCAAAATTTTACCATCTTCTTCATGACTTTGCAATCCAAAACGTCCAACTTAACAGGGTTTCTCTGGTTTTATCATGAGTAGTTTGGGCACCACCCATTTACTAAAGGCTCCAACTTTGCCCATGGAATGGGAAGCAATTTGTAGAATGCGTGTCTATTATGATGAAAATCTCCACTTTTGTGTGATTTCATGACTTCAAACTCAAGGGAAATTCTATAAGATGGTGGTTAGACTTCAAACTTACCAAGTGGATACAATTTTCATAATCAAGATAGTTGTCTCCAACATTATATATATTATCTTCTGGTCAGTTTTGAAAAGAGTCAAAAGACATGAATCACTGGTTGCTCAAGTATGTGGTAAGTGGTAACGATTTTCTTGGAGAACAGGTGATGGTAGCTCATGTAGCTTTTCTTTAATAGTATACTCCACAACTAGATGCGTTTAAAAATGAAGCTCATTAGCTGAATCCTTTCTAATGCTCAGCTGCTCTTGGCGGACCTTATCTCCTTGACTCAGCCAGCGCACTATTATCTTTGTAATTAGGGACCTCATTATGGGCTAATGTTGATAACACAATTCTATGATATTACATGGGTTTAGACCCTTCTCTATTTACCTCCTTGCTTCCATATATCTTCCTAAAAAATACCCTACTTATCCTTCTACAATATCAAATATGGATTGGCAAACCCTCCTTTTTTCTGTACTTCTGATTTTATGCAACCTCCTTTAGTTATGCGCTTGTTTTTTTATTGCACCAATATGGGTTCCAAAAAATTAATCAAAGCTTGTATAATTCATAAGAAAAACCTGTACAACTCTTGAAGTAACCAAATGAACTTTGTTATGGGTTGACTCGGCCAAATTGTCCCCTTACTTTTGTTTTCATGCTGGAAAGGGATTGAATCCCTTTCCATAGGCTGTTGGTGGTGCTACACCCTCAATAGATGTAGCTAATTTCAGAATGCTTGCCAACACTTGGCCTTTGATTTAGAACAATCCTTTGAGGGTTCCAGAGGTCATCTAGTTTTTGTTGGTTTAGATAGGGTTTGCTTTCATCAAATTTTATTGTGGAATCATTGTTCCTTTTTGAGTTTTGCCCTTCTCCAACCACAAACATTGTCAGGAGGAGCTTGGTATCATTGGGGACCATTCTAGTGCGCACCTCCTACGTGCCTTATGATTGTAGCTGACCAGAAAGATTTGATAGGGCTACTATATATTGCACTTTTTTCGCAATGTGTGAATTACGAAGATGAGGTGGACCTAGTTGCAACCATAATCACTGTTCTTCTAATTGATCATTTGTAGTTGTTTCAAATAAACACTTTCCAAGTCTATATAAGTTATTTTCATTCATTGTTTATTCAACATTATCTTAGAGGACAGTATGATAGTTATAATCCTAACCAAAGCAAAACATGGTTAGTTGGTCAGAGTCAACACACTATGCAACTTCCCGGCCAAGTCACAATGGACTTTCCCTTTAATGACCATCCTTATTTGGCATATGTTGCAGCTTGTTTGTGCCGGTAAGGTGTCTAGCATTATACATTCCCAGCAGGGCCTTCCAGTTCTAGGTCTGGCATGGTTTTGCTGAGATGCATTCCACACGTTTATGGTTAAAAATTAACAATGGGAGTGATAAGGTGGTATTTTTTGTGGGATGGAGAAAATTTCTGTGTTCTATGTAATTGGGTGCTGTGTTTGTAAACAGCTAAAAATAGTGTTCACAAAAATACCAACAAGGCCTTCCAGTTCTAGGTCATGCATGATTTTGTTGTGATGCTTTCCACTTGTTTAAGGTGAAAAAGTTAACAATGGGTAGTTGGGAGTGACAAGGTGGTAATTTTGGGGGATGGAGAAAATTTTGGTGTTCTATGTTTGAATTTAAATATTTGGGTGCTGTGTTTGTAAACAGTTAAGAACAGTGTCCTATAGGTAGTCCGCTCAATTTTCCTTTAAATAAAGGTCATGAACCTACCATTTGTATACTACACCGTCTTCTTTTCGTTTACTAATTCTCTGAACTTTATTGCAATTGGTGGCCCAAAGTAAAAGAAAATCACATTCTGTAAAACAAAAAAAAGATATTATTATTAATAAGGAAACCATTTTACTGTATTGAAATGACGTAAATATGTTGACTCTTACTTATTATTGAAGCATTATGCTCATAGTTTGTTTTGACTTATCTTCGATAAATCATGTTCCACAACAGTATTTGTATTTTTCTTCTATATTACTGTTGGCGTTATCAAGAAACCGTGCTCCTATTGAACAGTTTTTTTTTTTGTTAATTGAATCTATGAAAATCATGTGCCAAAGGAGGAATTTGGACTTTTTTTTCTTCATTGCTAAACTTGTTCTTATTGAACAGGTACTACCTGATGAAGTTCTTGATGTGAATAATAATGTTCGTACTATTGATTTGACAAACAATAATGTTTGTAAGTCAATATTGTTTTTTTGAGTATTATTTATTTTATTAAATCTTAATTGAGCTGAATATTGGCATCATGGAATTCTATTTCTCTTTGGCATTATTTCAAATTAAAAATTTTCTTTTCTGATCACCTGAATCTAATCTTTCATATCTTTATGAACACTGATTTTAATTGACGTTTAATTTTAGTTGTTGTCTTTTCTTCTTAGTTCTAAATTTATTCTTACATCTGAATGGAAGTTTTTTAGGGTTTTGCCTAAAATTTCAGAACATTTTCAAGCCTTTAGGATGGGATTTGGATATGAATAGTTTTTATTGTGCTCCTAATCATTGCCGAATAAAAAAATAATGTCTTTTTGTATGCGGAGATAAATTCCAGCAATTTTAAGACTCATGTAAATATTGACGTTAGTCTTATATCAGATAGGTGAAAAATATGTTGGTGTATGATATTAAGTGGTTGGCCCTCACTCATAAACTTGAATTTTTTGTTTGAAATATTGTTTTGATAACTGGTATATCCCATTTGGTCCATGCTCACTTGATAAGTGTTATCATAAATGATAATTCAGTTGGGATCAAATGGATCATGTAGTTTGTGACTTCCATAGGTCTCGATGACCTTCTACTATGATTGAGAAGGATTTAAGGGCAGGCGTCTCATATGGCAGCTCCGCATAGTTGAGTGAGCTATTTATTGATGCAAGATACTTGATGATAAAGAAAAGCTTCAGTATGTAGGGTGAGGGATGATTAATATGGAGAGCTCTTACATGTAAGAGTTGTTGAGTTTAATCTCATGTTGAATAGTTAAAAAATATATTATTGTAAAAATATTGAGTGGTTGGCCCTCATCTATGAGTGTACACTTTTTGGTTGAAAATAGATTTTATCATTGTTGTATTTGGCTTAACTTTACCCCATTTTGGTCCACGCATCCCCCTAACAAACAAAATGTCAGAAGGAGAAGAATTACTTGTTTAGTTGAACGCCAAAGTTTGTGTGTTAAGGCAGCTCATGATCTTATTAGTGGGTATTGTTTTCTAGTCTTGGAATATTCGCAAATATGCCTCATTGGCTCACATAAAACACATAATGTTGCCTCGAGAATTAGAGATAAAGTTCTAATACGGTAGAGCACATGGATTAATAACTTCCCTTTCTTTGTATATACTTCTTTTTACCTTCTTATTCTATTTAAATTCTTTTGTAGGTAAATTTGATCTCATAATAGTTCATGTTTAGTGTATTTAATGAATAGTTGAATTTACATTTTTTTCATGTATGCTATGAGGTTATTGTAATTTCTTCTGGGCCTTGTCTTAGTTTTCTATTATTATTTCATGCTATAGATTACCTGATTATGGTGTAAACCACTAAACCCTATTTACAACAGTACATCCAATGAAAGTTTTTATACACCTCTTTGTTTCCTTTTTATTTGTGTTACCATATGAAGCAGTTTTCCATTTTTAGTTCAAATTATCTCTCTCATGGAATTTAATTTTGATCACCATGTCCTGTAGCTGTTCTTCCTCCAGATATCAGCAGATTAGTTCAGTTGCAACGTCTGGTGAGGCTAATATCTCTGGTTTCTATAATTTCTTTCTTCATGCATTTTTGTTTTCTCTGTTTTACAACCTTATGTTTTTATTTGTTTTAATTTTTACTATATGTATGCAAGTGAACGCTTGGTTTGATTAGAAAATTACATTTTAACCAGGACTGCATTTTTTAACTTCAAATCATTTTTATGTTTCAGATCCTAGCAAATAATGTGCTTCAAAGCCTACCAAACACCGTAGCAAGTCTTCGTTCCTTAAAGATTCTTACACTTGATGGAAATAAGATTTCCATCTTGCCAGATGAATGTATTTTTGAGTACTACTTCTATACTATCTAATAGTAAAGGCAGGCCGCTTATGTTTTTCAGTGGTTCTATCATGTGTTTTCTCTATGCAGTGGGTTCTCTTTACAAGCTAGAACAGCTCTCCGTTTCTGGTAATTTGTTGACATTCTTGCCAGATACAATTGGGAAGCTACATAATGTGAGTACTTCTTTGAACGGCACAAGTAGTTATTTTTATGCATTTCTTTTACACTTGTAAATGATCATTTAATCTATCCGCTGTTCCGGTTTTGTCCTTTTCACTATCCAGTATCTGCCTAATTAAAGCAACATAAGCTTAGCCTTTTCTTTTATATTTTCTTCTCTCTATGGATATTACACTCATATAAAAGCACTCACATACTCTCATAATGATTGATCACATTACCATTCTTGCCTTAGAAGTCAGGTCTTAATATAAGTCTTGCTTTACACTAGTGCTTTACACTAGTAAATATTGCATTTAATGCTGGGTCAAGTCGGGTTCGACCCGCATCCAACCCGTTGACCCGAATTGACACCCCTATCATATATAATGAGGATGTCAATATGTGATAAATTATTGTTCTGTCTAACTTACAGTAGATGATTTTCATCAGTAAATTAAAACAATTGAATTAACTCTTTTAGTTTCTATGGCATGCCAAAGAAGCAGTTAAATTAGATTAGCAATAATTGAAAGCCAGGAACCAATGAAAAATGATTACAAATGCTTGTTTAGTGAAGGTAAGTCAAGATGGAGAAAATGCCCTTCTAGTTATGAGTTGTCTTTTGTGGTTGCTTGTTTGAACACATAAAATCTCACCTTGTGTTTGGTTATGAATGGCTTAGAGACCTTGAAGTAAAGAAACCTAGTAGGCCTCTATTTAAGGCAGAAATTATTCTCTCCCAGTAAGTTATCATGGCTGACAAAGATAATCAATGTGGTAATAACTCGTTCAGATAACTGTGATATCCTCACATCCATGTTGTATGGAGTTTTTTTTTCTGTTCCAGTTTATGTGCTTCGATGACATTTAGCTCAAAAGTAAATAAGAAAATCTTCAATTTAGCAAAAGCCTTCTATAAAGAGTTGCAATCTGTCATTTTAAGTCTTTTCTAAGCTAGTATTAGTGCATCCTAACCGCAAAAAATACGTTTTAATTGTCTTTTTTGTATGGACACTACTGTTTAATTACTCTTAATGACAGTCGTAGTTAATTAATTTTACATTATTTTAGTAAATGAGTCAAATTCACTTTTATAATTTTTTTAATTTCGTGATTTAATATCTATTCTTAAGACATCACGGAGCTTTCATGCTATTTGTCCTTTATTTGATTGCAGCTATCTCTACTTAATGTATCCAGCAATAAGTTGAGGTCTCTGCCACCATCCATTGGAAGTTGCATTGCCTTGGAGGAGCTGCAGGCAAACGGTAATTAGTAACCATATATTTTGAATATGTATTTTTTTAATTCAATTCTTTCTAATATGGGAACATGATAGTGAAGGATTAATTTATTAGTTTTAAAAAGAAGGATAAGGCTTAACGATGGCCCTGATCTTGAGTAGCTTCTACATATAGTTGTATAGAATGGTGTATGGGGGCTGTGAATTATTGCTTAACAACATTGCAAATGACCAAACCACATAATTGCTTTATCACGCCTTATGTTATAGTCAGAATTGTAAAATTTACTAAGGTTAATGGTTGACGCTAAATTCATCCTTAAACACTTAGGCTTCGTTTGGGATGGATTTCTTGCTGCTTCTTAAAGCAGCTTTTTAATATAAAAATTTTATATCTTGTACTAGAAAGTTGCTTTAAGAAGCAATAAGAAAGCCGTCCCAAATGAAACCTACATGACACATCGAATGTCAGTCATTGGAGGAGTTTGTGGCTTGCGGCTTATCTACTTCTTCCTCTTTCTCCCCACCGGCCGGACACTGTTCTCCCCTTCAAACTGTCGGCCTTACCCTCTGCTTGCTCCAATTGAGGGGAAACTCAAGGTGACTTTTTCTAAATGTTAAATGGTGGATTTCAAGTTTACAGCATTTAAGTTTATGTTTATGATTGAAGTTATTTTAAGTTCTTGAGATTTTGATGTGTAATGAATTGCCAAAACAATATTGATATTCTTAAATTCCTAAAATCTCATTTGGTGAAACATTAACTTATTGTTACTACGCTTAAATCAATTTTTTATAAATTTATAATCAATTCCTAATTTGTTTCACATCAGTTGTAGCATTCACTTTATAGATTTTGTGCATTATTTGAGGCTTAAGTATTATGCAAATATAAATATATTGCCAAGCATATAGATTAAAATTATTTTAATAAATTTTTAAACTTCTCAGAACAACATAAATAATATCTAGTGAAATATGCTAATTTTAATTAAAACACATAAATTCATTTATTTCTAGTGATAAAGCATATATGTTTAAATCATTAGCATCAAATATTTAATTAATCAGGCTCAACTAAAGCATTATTATGGCTCAAAGTTGATAAGAAAACTAACAAACAAGTTAAAAGAAGGCGTTCAAGTCCAAGTCAGGTTTCATTTGGGATGACTTTCTTACTCCTTCTTAAAGCAGTCTTTTAGTACAAAAAAAGCTGCTTTAAGTAGTAAGAAAAACGTCTCAAACGAAGCATTAATTTTCTCAGCTCAAATTCAATAAGAAAAAAAAAAAAAACTTGCTTGAACAAGGTATTTTTAATCGGGTTGACCTTTTTCTCACTGTTTTCACTTTTTCTCCTGTTGTTACAGACAACAACATTGAAGAACTACCAGAATCACTCTGCAATCTCAGCCACCTGAAGTCTCTTCTGCTGAACAATAATAGGGTGAATCAGGTATGAGAAGTTGCAATAAAGAGTATGAAAATGCCGTTTTTCCTTCCATTTAACCAACGAAATAGCCTTTCAATTGTATCACATTATCTTATTTGAAATTCATATACTGATTCAAAAAATCTTCAACAGTTACCTCCAAAATTGTTCAAGGACTGCAAATCTATGCAGAATATAGCTCTTCATTCTAATCCCATTACATCGGATCAGTTTCAGCAAGTAAGGTTTTATATATTTTTGTTTGGGGGATTACATACATATCATAAAATTCTTATATATTTATATATGTGACAGCTAAATTTTTATATTTATTTATGCAGCATTCAAATCTTTTTATATTAATTAATTTAAAATAACATACATATTTTTTTATATATTTTTTGATGTAATTTAAACATTATTTAGATGTTAGTATCATAAATATATAAAAATTTTGTAACCCTTTTTGTGCATGCAAATCCATCTTTTTGTTTTACTTTTGCCTGTGATCTGGTTTATGACCCTTTTAAATATAAATTTATCTTCTTTCAGATGGCAGGCTTTGTAGAATTTGAAGAGAGGAGAAAGAGAAAATTTGACAAGCAGATTAACTCCAATGTTTTGATGAATTCCAAAGGACTTGATGAAGGCATTGACTTGTGATGAATATTTTTCTCTTTGAGTGATTTAGGCTTTATTTGGGGTGGCTTTTTTACTGCTCTGTAAAGCTATTTTTTAGAAGAAAATTTTCTTGAAAATAGAAAAAAAGCAGTAGTTTAAGGCTTTGTTTGGGACGGCTTTCTTACTGCTTCTTACAGTAGCTTTCTAGTACGAAAATTAAAAGTTTTATACTATAAAGTTGCTTTTAAAAGCTGTAAAAAGGCCCTCCCAAACAAAGCTTAAAGTTGTCACAAACAAAATCTTATGCTTGATTTATCTGTGATCAAATAAATATAATGATGCTTCAAGTTGAGGCATTTTGGAGCGAATATTTCTTAGTTTTGCTCTTTTATGATATAAAAGAACAAAACTAAGAAAACTTTCCTCGGAATGTCAAATACGGTTAAACAAAGTTTGTGTTCGGCTTGTTAAAAAACGGGTTCAAAATGATTCTTTAATGTCAATTTGCTTACTTAATGAACAAGCTAAGCACGAGTTGTTCGCCGGCGGTGAATTTTTTTATAATCCAAATCATTGTTGAATGGGTGGCATATATTGCAACCAAAAAGCAAAAAATAGACAGTATAATAGCTGATAATATATATATATATATATATATATATATATATA